ATACCAACTTTAAGCATAAAATTTTGACACTTCCTTATTTAGATCCCTATTTCAATTCATAAACTCTTTGTTGGCAGAAATATCTTACTGTGTTATTTTTGCTTCTTTCCCCCCTTATTTCTGTTCTTTATTTTCTGAAACAGATGTGTAATATCACAGCCTATATTAAACCCCTCTTCCAAAATATTACACATAGATGGAGCACATAAAGGCAATACTACATATTCAACAGGATGATAACAGCATTTGAAATGGTAGGAAATAATATAAGAAGTAGGATACATGTTTAAAAAAATCTAAAAGGAAGTTTTCTCAGGATGTGTGTCAGGAAAAAAAAAGGGTCACTTCAGGAAATATCCATACTTTACTGGATAATGTTAGAAAGAACACAAAGAATATTATTTGCAAAATTAAAATTTCAGACTCGAGCTGACCCTGAAACTCTGGGCCTAAGCACAGATATTAAGTCCACACATACTATAGTTGCACAGGTTTCTCTGATTAACAGTTTCTAGTTGTTTGTGCAAGAGTTGAAAGTTTCAGCAGTAAACCTCTGTACTATTTTACTTTTAATGATGACATTTATCATCAACCCGATTTTCTAATGAATCAGAGTTTTCTTTAGCAATTCTCTGGAATTAAGCCTGCCCTTAAGGTGCTTACTGCAAAACTTATATATTTACACAAGGTTCAAGTCTGTAGAAATGCTTGCATCTAAGCACAGTATTAATTCATTTTTCATTTAAAATATATAACATGTCAAAATCTAAATGCATCAAACGTGCATACAAATACATAAAGCAGACCAGAAACTGGTCATAAGCAGGTGTTCGTGAATGAAAATATAAACCTCTAAATTTCACAGTTAACTAAATTGCTACTTGTACCTTTCATCATCAAAATACACCAACAGAACCTGCAGAATACATTGCTTTCTTCATTCAACTATCAAAAACGTGATACGAAATGCCATGTGAGTTCTATATAAATATGCTGAAAAGAAAGATTAATATGGCCATCTAGAGGAGAAAAGAATGCTGTGATAACATACCACACACATTTTCAGACTTCAGAATATAACATTTTTAGAGCCATGTAACCAGAAAATGGATGTAATAAACTAATTATGGAGTTGATAATAAGTGAACCTTAAAATAATACAGTCAGACATTTTGATGGTCTTAGTAATGCAAACATTAATATTATACATGTTTTTAGCAAGGCAAGCAAAGCTTGAGAGGTGTATTAAGAAAGACGAGATCATATTTATGTCTCATTGTTAAATTTTGTGTGTGCCCTATTAAGCACAGACACATCTAAACAAACAAATTTAAAAAGTGAAGACAGACATGTAGAGTAAACACTTATTAGTAAAATTATTTGTTGACTCCTTTGAAAACACAGCTCACTGCTGCAAGACAGAACACGTGATAGAGATTAACTGCTGAAGAGAAAATTCAGCAAACAATTTTCTGAAAACAAAATATCGTTTTCATTGCTCATATTTGCTCTACCTCTGATGGAATTCATAGAATCATGGAATGGTTTAGGCTGGAGGGGACGTCACAGACCATTTCATTCCAACTCCCTGCCATAGGCAGGGGCACCTCCCACTACACCAGTCTACTCAAAGCCCCATCCAACCTGGCCTTGAGCACTTCCAGGGATGAGGCATCCGCACTTTCTCTGGGCAACCTGCTCCTGTGCCTCACCAACCTCACAGTAAAGAATTACTTCCTAATATCTAATCTAAAACCATTCTCTTTTGGTTTGAATCCACTCCCTCTTGTCCTTAATCTTAATGACCAGGGGCTGGTTTACCAGCAATGAGCAGGAGGAAAACAGATGAGACAAAAATGAATTCTGTTCTCTCATCACTTCACTGTAACACTATCAAGTCCTGGACATCATATGGACTAATCAGTGCCTTAAGATGGAAGAACAGACAAAGGGTTAAAGACTTAGAAGGAGAAACAATAAAGTACATATGAGAAAGCACTAGCACACAGTCAAATGTATTGACAATTTTTACTCATATGAAATAAAGTACATAGGAACACAATGCTTGCTTCTCCTCCACTACAAAGCATGAAGAAATGCTTCTATCATGTGTCTTTATGCTTTCTATAAAAACAATTCAACAGTCAGAAACCCCAAGTATTTAACAAAAAAATTCAAGATTCCTATGGCATCAAGTCTTCCACAGATTTAGTTTCCAAGTTTAAGGAACAGTAAAGCTTTGCATTTTTCAAAATCACACTGAAACATCTAGAATGTTGAAGCTCCCCTCTCAGAATCAGAGATTTTTAACATTGGCTATTCAGTGAACTGTTTCTTTTAACACATATTAACTGTGTTCTCTCATTTATTTTTGACTGCAGGATTTCTTCATGAGGTTTTCAGCTTTTCTTTTCATCGAAGTTCTAGGTTGGAGAGCTTTCCCTCTGTAATGATTATAACGTAACAAGGCATACTCTGCCTCTTCCTCTATTCTAAAACACTCTTTATCACTGTGCAAAAATTATTTCTTTTATGTTTGAAATAATTTAGGAAGAAACATGAAAAGGACTAACACTAATTATTCTAGTGTGCCACCTTCAGGTCAGTGAAAAGTGGAAAATACTAGGTTGTTAATCTGTTGCCACGTCCAATACTACAAAGCTTTTTTTTTAATCGCATTGAACATAATTCTGTTGAGATTAAAGAATTACAAAAATGATACGAACTCATCACTCTCATTTACAAGCATTTTGTTGAACACTGCAGAATGACTGCAGGCTGTCAAATAAATAGCATTGCTGATTCTCCACTCCTTGGAAAATGTGGGGAGAGAATGCTCTCACAAGCAGCAGCAAAAGCAAAATACTGACAGTATTAAAGTTTTTATGCAAGTAGAAGGATGTGTTAAAAATTTTAAATCTCATAAATTAGAATATTTTCAGAGTTTTTGCTTTAAACATTTTTGGGGTTTGTTTTTCTTTTTCAAACACTGAATGTTCTTTCATCATAATAAATTTAATTTGCATACTAATTTTAGACTAAATATGTGTGTGCATATATAAAAATGGGGTTTATATCCAGCCTGCTTCCTGAATGGAAAGAACATTGAGAAGGAAGAGCACCTGATAACAGTTATCTTTAGCAACTGAAGAATAACAAAAAAGGAAGAGAGGGGAACACAATTGTAGCTTTCCAGATGCCACAGTTGGATGTGCCAACAAGGTTATTTTGTCTTAGATTGTAATCATGATACAGATTTCTAGACCGGAGTTCTCACTCCCCAGAAGAGGATAAAAGTCAGTGACTATGAATTCTGATGACCTAAGAGGATGATAAGGAAGACAATTATCAAAAGAACCCCCCAAAAGAAAAACCAAAAGAAAAATTTGGATACACGCTAGCACAATGCCTTTGAAGCTAAAATCACATAGGGCCAAAGTAAAAAGATAAGATGAACTGAGGACTTTTCACTAAGAAGATGAACCAGATTGAATAAAAAAAATCTGATCAACTATGAAATAGAAAGAAGAATGGGACATGACTATGACTATTGCAACAGCTGGCCTCAGCAGTTTGAAAAGTGACAAATCCATTATATCTCAAAGGAACCTTATTGCATAATTTGTATCTAGTATTATTTGCTAAAAAATGCAATCATTTTTCCATCTCCTGTTCTTCATCATTCCTTCCCAGCAGTGACAGAAGCCATACAAAACAATTGGTCTTATTTCTCATATTCCCCCCAGCAACACTGTCAAGAGATGTCAGTAGATATAAAACCCAAACATGATACTTTTACTATCCCTCTGCCTGACCTTCTCCATCAGTGTCCAATGATCAGTTCTTACCACCTGACCTCACCTCTGCATCTCCTTCACAATGTGCTGGAACTCAGACTAGCAGTCCTCCTAACAACAATTTAACAGCAAAGGAAAGAAGTGAATTTTCTGATGATCAGAAAACAATCCTCTTGCTCTGCAATTTACTTCAACTACAGCTTTTACATCCTTTGTATCTTAGCTTGGCATCATGAATGACCATGCACTAATTTCAAATTTCAATGGCAATCACACTTTTATATAATTTAATTATGTCACATAGTAAAAAATTTAAATTTTTTCAAGCACTTCTGGACTGTACAGAACATATAAGGGCAGACATCTTTTAATTACATGTATCCACCTTTTATTAGAAAACATCAAACACTAAAAAGCCTTTGCATTTTAACATGCTAAAGGGAGACCAACAAATATCTTACTATAACACAGCACCTGGATTAGAATCTGACTAGTACTTAACTTTCACAAAACCTCACTTCGTACTCAAAACTGGCTATAGACACAGTTCTCACATACAGCCATTTCCAAACACAAAAAAGCATATTGACAAAATATTGACAGCAGAATTCTTAGCCTCTAGGTCAAGTTGTCACCCTAACTTAAAATCAAGAAATATATCGCACATAAGAAAACATCCAACTTTTAGCACCATGGAAAAAATAGATTAATCTAATCTTTGCAGTAATTTCTTCCTGTGATTTCAAGAGAAGACACAGAACATTCCAGTAATGTACACTGCAATGACCATATGAACTAGAGCCAATAACCAATTCCATTCACTTTGCTGTTATAACACTTTCTCAATAGAGGAACAACAGGTCTTCTTCGTATTTATAGTACCATAGAATTCATCAAGAGTTGCCATGTTTCCTTCCTAAATCAAAACAGTTTCACTTTCCCCAAAAATAAAATGAATAATGATAAAATGTAATGAAACTTAATATAAAAAGATATATCATTTGCAGTATTTCTGGAAGAATGTACACAAGTCTGTGCTTTGCTTTTTTTTTTTTTTTGAGCATGCACAAATATAAAAGGTGTCTGGATACTTCTTGCAGACATTGACTATTTGCTAGTCAAGCTGCCCTTGTCTAGGAATTACTTATCCAGAACATAATTCTGAAATTTGGAATAAAAGTAATGCTTTTAAATCACTCTTACCTTCATCTATTGAGGCTTCACTACTGTATCCATCATATTCTGCAGACAGGGGACTATATTTTTGTCTGGTTTCCCATATATAGTTTTTTTGCTGTCTGCCATCCACCACTGGCAGCCTGGAACTCTGGGTTCTAGACAAGGCCTCATGATATTTACCCAGTGCTTCATCTTCACTCTCAGATGATGAACCATGCTGGTCTTTACTCATATAAGAATTGTCTGTTTGAATAAAATAAAGCAAATCGACTACAGCTCAAAATAGAATACAAGAAAATAACCGTAAGAGGTTATCATTGAAGATATTTAAGCCATTTCAATTAAAATTTCTGTAATATTTTAAAAAATATCTTGCTGTAATTAAAAGCATTATGTGGTTTTTGTAATTGGTGAGAGCTATTTTCATTTTCTAGAAAACCTGAAAGATCATTAAGCCCCCAAAAACATTCTAAAACTTATTCAACAAAAAAATGGATCAATTTATGCAAGGCGGCACATACTGAAGTTCTTGAAACCCTTCATTAAGTAAGAAAATGCTTAAAATAATTTATGCAAAGTAAATCCAACACTGCTGTAATACTACATTTGGATAGCTAACATATCAAAAAGGCAGCTCCTGATCCTACATTCCCAGCTGATGTTTGCTGTGAGCATGTAGCATAGCATAGAAATGAAACTGATTTACAAAGTGAAGCCTACAACAAAATCATCTTTAGGATATTTATGCCTGTAGTGCTTAAACTCGCAATAACAAATGGGAAAATGCTAGTGAAAGATGTTTGCATGCACAATTCTATTTAACTTACAGTAAACATCCCCTTGTTCAATAACTGAAATTAATGCAGATTCTTGCTGCAGACATCTGGCAACAGCAAAAATTGCATGGCAGAAAAAGTCTATCTAGTTAATTCTTTTATACCAGCTCTTCTACAATGCCCACTCCCGTGGCCAACATTTTCCAACTACATCTCAAGTATGACTTCCTTCCACAAACCAAAGATTCAGCTGCATTTTTATTTCACTAAAGGGAAAGCTTCCTCCTCCTTTTTCCAAACTTCATATGGTTTCTATTCAAGTTTAATATGCCTTGCAGAGTAAGGTATTCAAAGAGTTCATGTAAACTCAACAAAGGTCAGTATTACCACTACTGTATGAGCAAGCCTATGGTATATGATTTGCCAATGTACTCCCATCAAGGGCAGAGTTCTGCGATGCCCATAATGTTGGTTTTCAGGTCCTTATTCTGCGAGGGAATGTTGTCCAACATGCTATCAGCCACACTCAATGGTTCTCCCCTTCCTGTTTTTATGCCCTCCTCCTAGTCCCTGTACTAAACTCTAGTTCTGCATTTCCTCTCCCATTAGTCTCTGTATTCACACCCAGTCAGTCTCACTCCTTTGGCTGGGTATTCCTACCAAAGGAGGGATTCAGCTTACTAAAATTCAGCCATTTAAAATTAAAGCAACTAAATGTATACCAGCCATCTAGGCCTCTTTTACAGTCAAGTGTTTGTCTCTCGTACTACAGAGGTTTGTCCTCCCGACTTTTAGGTAAGCCTCTAGAACAGATGAGTAAAATCCTTCCCACAGAGGTCTTTTTCTCCCTGGTACTCGTAGAGAAAAGCCTATGCTGCAAGTTTAGGTAAGATATCTTTTGGGAAGTTAGATTTATACGAGTAGAATCCTATCCTAAATTCCTGCTTCTCAACCCCATACTCTTTAATTCCTGCTCCAAGTACCCACTTTTGGTCTCTTATGGTGTTTTCCTCTTTATTATCTTTGTCTATTTGACCCCAAATTATCTTTACTTGCACCTAACCAACTACTCATGTCACCTTGGTCTTTCACCCTTAATCTCTCCACCTTCATATAATATTATCAGTTCTCTCCATAGCTGTCACCCATGCTACTTCAAATCCCAGTCTACCACTTGCATCATGTCATATTTGGTCAGGAAGTTTCTGTCCTCACATAAGACGTGTTTACTCTCAATTCTTCTGGTCAAACTTCCAGCATCCTTCAGTAAGCATACGTATCAAAGGCAGGATAAGACCTGCTCTGTTCTTCAACCCCTACAATGAAGCATATGAGTGCAAATGGGATGGTCAGTGAATTTAACAAGCAAAGGATAAGAAGTGTTTACCATGTCTTTTCAAAAAGCAGTTTCCAAAGATTTACAACTTAGGTGTTTTTTCATAGAAGAACATGGGCATCTCTAACATGGGAAAAGTGCTCTCCCACATTTCAAGTACATACTCCAATATATAAAGGTGCCAAAGCATCTTAGTAAAACTCATATGAAATTTACTTAAGTTTTTTTGCACAAATACACAGCATGTTTTCCCCATAATCTGTTTTAGGAAACAGCTAAAGATTTTAAACTATAACTTAGAAAAAAACCCCAAACAAATCAGGATCTCAGACAGAAAGAATGCCTAATTTCCTCACAATTATTTTAAATTTAGCACACGATTTTAGGTTTAACTGAAAATAAGGTCTTGAAATGGAAAATGTCACAAAACCTTAACTGGATATGTTGTTACTAGCTCTATATGCAAAGTGTACATCATCTTAATTTAGTATTTATAGGAAAAATGGTGCCTTAAAAGACTGCTAATGAGCAACTAGATCTTTCAACTCTAGGCTATCCATTTGAATCAAGTCTAACAGATATGGTTCTTCCCATTGTATGGATGGCTATAAAGCAAGTTCAGTTTCACTGACCACTTATTGAAAATATCGCACCACGAAGGATATATTCTGGCTAACAGATTCACTGCAAGAGGCTGCCCAGAAAAAGGAGTCTCCTTTGCTGGTACACAGAGTCAAATTTTGTATCTCATGCGGCTCTCAATAGGTTGAAACCTGCCGCCTAGGAAACTTCTACAGATTTCCACAACTACAATTAAAGCAGAGCATACCAGGACTAAAATCTAGTACCAGACATCAGTATTAGATGCATCCTTTAACATTACAAGAAATGTATTCACAAATATGAAATTAGGTTTATTAATCAGTCTGCATAAAGAATGGAATAGTATAAACCATGGTAGCAACATGTTTGAAAGGAGTTGAAAGATATGTCTAGAATGTTACACTGACTTTCATAAGCATTCAGAAGTTCTCAGTGATACTAGATATTTTCTAAGCATAAAAGAATGAGAATGTGTATTATTATTATGTCATGAAACAAGACCTCTTCAGAGGACTTAAAAACCTTATTAAAGTTACTATACAAGCTATCCATGCAACTTTTTGCTTTAAATTAACAATGCAAATTGGTTTCAGTTTCTTGGGAAAAAAATAGCCTCCTGCACATTAAGAAAAATATCTCAGGGTTTTATGCCTCTCCTTGCCACTTGCTATTTGATTTTTCTATCTTAGTTGAAAACTCACCTAAGAGAATTAATGTTCTTATTAAAAACTTTCCTTTATTTGGCTAACACGGGTCAGGCGCAATTATTAACCTATTAAAAGCTATTAATTTGCTTATTATGGAACTAAAAAGACATTTTTGAGAGAGAATGTACTTTACAAATATTGTATTATGGAAAGAAATAACAGAGACCATAGCTTATCATACAAACATGGAAAACACCTCCTGAATCAAATTTAAAATAACCGAACAAAACCAAACCAAAACCCAACAAAACAGAACGGAAATTTTCAGGTAAAGGGAAAACACACACACTAAAGGGAAAAAAAAATAAAGTGTTTCTATTATGCAATCATACATTTCTCTACAGAAACAGCATTTCTGGAAGAGCCTGTGTTTCCTTCTAAAGATTCACTACGCACCCTGCAAAACAACTCTGTAAAAGTGCAAGGTTTTACTTTTTACTCACAAACTATTACTACAATTCCCTTGTCATACTGTTTAAGCCTGGATGTTAAAGACACCACACACAGTATCCATGCCAACACTACACAGGTCTTCTTTGGAGACTACAAATTAAGGACAAGCCTCATTCACTTCTTTCTGCACTCAAACTCACTTAATTCTTATTGAGCTTTGTGTCCTGAAAACATTATCTTAGATATATTCTATATTCTCAAGATTTACTGTAATGTAAATGCAACAGAAGTTATTTCTTTTATCATCTTAGCGTATTTTATGCAAAGCTTTTAAAATAAACAAAATAAAAACTGCTTTCACAGAACAAGTATTAATTTCCAGTATTAATTAATCCATAGTTTTCAACAGAAACCACACAAGGCACTGCAGGGAAGAAAAACCATAGAGAGAAAAAGTAAAGTTAGAACATAGGAAAGGCATTTATTAATCAGTTCCTTTAACTAGTACTTTAGAAAGTAAGTAACTTTGAAGAAATACCAACATAATTAGAGAATGAAACACTGAAAAAAACCCAACCTACTTTCATCCACAAGAAAGATTACTATTAAATGTGTAAATTAGTTGAAAAAGGTAGGAAGTATCATAAGTTTCAGGAAAGGTTGAAGAATGCAGTTTGGTGACACACTCCTCACCTTTTCCTGCTGTCTTCTTATGACATAGCTCTCTTTCTAATTTCTTTGAGTTTTTCTTTTTACCCTCTTTTTCAATTTTAATTGACACATTGTCTTCATCCTTTGAGATGGATTTTCCTTTTCTGGCAAAAAAGGCTTCAGATTTCTTTTCTTTGATTTCATTAGGGCAATTGGGACGGTCATTGTGCATCTTCTTCAAACCAGAGTCTGGTAATTTTTGCTTCTGTACATCAACAGGTTTTGTTTCTAAATCCTGGGGAACATTCATACTGTGCACTTCATCAGAATCCTTAATATCAGCTCCAGATGACCGTGGTTTGATTTTTCTACGCAAGTGGTTCTTAGAAATATCCGATACTGCACTTGGGCAATTATCTTGCTCCTCAACAGATTGATGTATTTTAACTTTACTACTTTTCAAGTTACTATCCTTCAAGAATTTATCATTTGCAAAACACTCATTTCCCCCTACTGCTTCCCTTTTAAAAGGTCGTCCTACCCTCTTTAAATCCTGAGGTACTTCTGTATTCGCTGTGCCTTTTAACAGGCACTGGTTTTTGCCCAAGACATGGTCAGATACTCCAACTTGATTTGTATCTTTTCTTACAAAATCTAATGAATTTGAATAATGAGTCTCTTTACGTTCTGCGATATCTCTCTTTGCTTTCATGTTGATTTCCTGAGGATGAGTTGATTGCGGTGTATGCTCCTCTCTCTCTTCCACAGGTTTATCATTCTGCATTTTGGAGTTTCCATCTTCTGCCCGAAAGCCATTTATCATGCTCGTTACTTGTTCTGTTACTGAGTCAGCTACAGTGTAACCGACCTCTCCGACAACACTGGCCAGATCATCCACAGCACTGCTAAGTGTGTCCACCAGAGAGGACACAGAGGGAAGGTTCAGATTTTGCTGAAGGTTTCTGAAAAATGCCATTTTCTACCCTATTCTGCAACACTGAGGGGTCCTCTGTTTCACAGACTGATCAACTGTTTCTCCAAATTCACTTTCAGAGCTATTTGCTTTTCCTATCTCAAAATCAATAAATTTACGAGGGGAAGTTGCCGCTTTCCTCTTTCCATTCAATATGTATTGAAAATAATAATAAAACAGCTAAATAAATATCTTGAAATGAAGTCACAATCAACCAGCAAATTATAGTCTTTCATCAACTGTAGCATCAACTAGCCATAATCAAATTCATTATTTTCAAAAACAAGACAATTGTGTGAGGTGGAAATGTGTTTGGGTATTTTATTCTAACCTGCAAAGAAGAAGTTGTGAGATGTTTAAAATAAGTCCTTTCATGAGCGGCACACTATACCAAGCTACTAGCTGCACAACACACATCGTGGATACTTCTTCACCCCAAAATACTTGTTATCTTTTATGTAAGGTAAGATATTTTGGAACATGAGGACTTGTTTTGTAGCGAAAAAGAAAGTTAATATGACAGACAATTTTCAGGGGGGAGAACCTTTTCTGTCTCCAATAAAATTGAAAAAAATATTTAGTTCCATCTTTTAAAGAGGCAGAGGGGAAGAAAACCTCTCTGATTTCCCATTGTCTTCTCTGGTGCCTGTCTCCTTCTCTCAAGTTAGCTAACAAAGCCTCTTTGATTTCCATAGCACAAAAGTAGAAAGGAGTTATTTTACTAACCCTCTATATCTTATTTCATTACACATAATTCTTAAAGACTTTGCTATACTCAAAATACTTGATAATTTGTTAGTCAGACATAAGATGACTTTAGTTTCTAATGTCCTCCTTAGAAGTTATTTTCCAGGTACGTAAATGAAAGACCTTCTCTAAGAGGTCAGTGAAAGTTTTTAATAGGCTGAGTGTAAAGCCAATAATCCCATTCACAAATTTACTTGAGAAGATTTAATTATGCACAATAATGGAATGTTTAAAATACTTTCAAGAGTATTCTCCTAGTACCTTCCCATAAGCAAATGTCACCTCTTTGGTTATACAGCTGTTGCATTTCTGTGGCTTGTGGATACAAAGGTCTGTTCTTTCCCAAATACTACACAGTCACAGGAAAAGCCAACACTGTTGTGTTATTACACCCTTGTAAAAATGTGTATTCTCATCATTAAGTTTAGTACAGTGTATGTCATATACTTACAAAGTTTATCTTGTGAATTCTTTCTTGTAGTGTATCCTGAATCGAGATCTGGGAAACCACTAACATTTTCAAAACACATCTTCTTATTAATATATAAGAAAAGCAGCAGCATGAGAATAATGAACACCCCAACGGCAGACAGGAATCCAATTGCTTCAGGAGATACTAAAAGAAACAGAAAGAAACACATTTTTTTAAAATCTTGTAAAAGCTTGGAAAGTTGTAATATTATCAGAATTGATCATTAATTAATACCTCTAAAGTTGCAAATATAATGCAAGATATAACGAAAACCCCACCATTTAAATTTGAATTAATGTTTAATCATCTTTTCAAAGAACAGAAAAGTACATGATCCTAAACTAAGGAAGGATTGACACTGGGGTCTGTACAGAAAAATGGGGAAATTACTAGAAGATGCCAAGGCTGAAGATTTCTGATGGAACATCTGAGAGAGAGAGTGCACTGGAAGGGGGCTGAGAGCAACCCCTCTTCCTGGGAAGGGATGGAGGGTTGGCTACACCTAGACTCGAGGCCAACTCTGAGACAGTGCTGCCAGGGAGGGACTCAGCCCTTGCTCTGTCAGCCTTGTTATGCTCAGCACCTGGCTCCTCTCCCCTCAGGGACCAGCTGGTCTGTGCTACTCCCTGACAAGTGGGATACTCTGTGAGCAAAAAACCGAATGACAAAAAGCATGTATGTTCACTTGCATATGAACCAAGAAAGAGCTAAGTGGAATAGAGATAAAGCACACTTAATCAAAACCAGATGAAGGAAAAAAGGCCAAAGTAGACTGACATGTCTTAGAAAGCATGTAAAATAACGAATATGTAATTGCTATTAAGCAGATAACTGTAAAGGATTATTGGGGATTTCATCGGAGTCGAATCTTGAAAGTACATCAGTACCTAAGTAACATCACCAGTAATACCATTTAAGACCAAGATTACCAAGGACAGGGTTTTAGAAGTATGAAATCTGGGAGTGGATGTAGCAAATTGGAGCAATGGGGAAAGAGGAACTAAGGGGCAGCTTGTTTATTTGAAAGGAGACAGGGTAGAGAAAGGAATATAGAAGGGCAGCAAAAATCAGAGTCTAAAAATGTTAGAAATCATGAACAGTTTACAAAGGCTGTTCAAGAGCAAGATAAAGCAGAACTTCTGAAAGGAATGCAGATGCCCACAGACTATAATGAAGCTGAGATGCTTCATTAATAAAGGCCACCAGGATGTCAGAGGGAAGCCACTTGGGAAAGACAGTGAACTCTTTACTGGCTCTATATCCATCGAACTTGAAGTGAGAAGTTAAAAGGGTGACAGAATTGCAAATTTGTTACTAACTACTGTGGGAGGTTGAAGTGAAGAGTTATAGGGCTATAAATCAATATTTGGGTGCAATTTATAAGAAAAAAGTGACAGAACTCAATAATTACATGGGATTAACAATGGTGCAAAGCATTATAGAACTGTGATTCCTAGCAGTATGCTGATTAATCAATCTGTTAACTGGTTTATTAGTAGTGTGCTGATCAATTAAGTAACTTTATAGCCTCAGTTATACCTCAAATTTGCATTCTAAATAGGCCACGAGGTAAGAGTGGGTTTTGTGGCCTCAACACACAGACACGTATCTTTCAGGCCTGAACATGGCTGCATTTACCTGGATGAAAGCTAGGATTCCACATATCCCTTTCTTCCTGCCAATTCTGCTGGACTCTGTACTCACCACCATAAATCCCACTCCTGCAAGTTGATTTTTTCCTATGATCTGCAAAGATTTATCAAATTTATGAATTCTGTTTGCCATGATCTTGGCACTTCACTTTAGGACTATAATGCTGCATGGCAACATCTTTCACTATGTAAAAAGGAGTGAGATTAAAGCAAAGTTGGCAACAGACTCTGTATTCTCAGAGATGCTACACAAAAGGACAAGAAGCAAGAGTCCGAAATAACTACAAGAAAAATTCCCGTTGGGGGGGTGGGGAAAGGGAGAAAATCCAGAATAAGAGGGGTTTATCACTGCAACAGATTGCCTAGAACAGTTATAGAATCCAACTTTAATGTTATCCCTGCTTTGAGCAGGGGACTGAACTGCAAATTACTTTCCCAGGAGCCTTCCAAATTAAATCATTCTCTGATTCGACATATGCCCTTTGAAAATCTGGGCTCATACATCTACGCAAAAGTGCTGACTGAGAAACACATGCAGTTCCACAACCTTCTCAGTTCGTTTTGCAGGATGACAAGGAACATTTGTGTCTGCGGTGCTGTTCTTAAATTATTACACAGGTGTGTTATAAAAGCTGGAAAAGAAAGATCAAAAGAAATGCATCTTCCACCATCTAAAAGGAACTGGTCAGGTTTCACTTCTGTTTTGAGCTGAACATCCAGATCTATCTGAAACTTTACCTGAGAAGCTGGTTTTATTTCACTTTTTACCTCTGATCAGGAGAGATCATGTAACATTGTGCCTAGAACCCTGAAAATTTTCCCACAAAAAAGAACTTGCCAGTAACTTCAAATGAGACCTCCTGCTGCATCAAGTAGAGCAACAAGGTAAGAAAAGTGAAATTCTATTCTGGACAAGAAAGGCAGCTAAATTTTTTTTCATATATTTTCATTATCATGAACAAATAGAAACAACAAAAAATTGCCTGTGTCAGGCATTCATTTATCATTTGACATGCATCCTTTTACCATTTTCATGGAATCTTCCTACACATGGGAAAACTCTGAGATTTGACAAAAACTTCAGTTCATCTATATTCATTTTTGACCTCAAAGTTTAACAGATGAAATCCCCCAAGGTTCTGCTGGCAGTAGGCATGTTCCCACTCCTCTCAAGACTGCATATGGATAACTGAGAATGTCTGGGGCTATTGGAACAACATCCAGTTTTCTTTGAATTATTGATCCTGACCCAAATGAGACTAGAGACTGGGCCAAGAGCAGAAAATCTTCATTCTTCAATGACTTCCAGTCCTAACACCTATCAAACAGAGAGGCAGTGGCAGAAATGGCAGGAAAAAGAAACTGCAGTTCACTAGAACGGAGGGACTAACAGAAGCGAGAGTGAAGGTGGCAATCAGGCACAAGTTAGTGATGTCCAGTGAGGAAATGGAAAGTACAAGTTAAGAAGAATATTGGGATGGAGTACACAGAACAAGTCAGAAAGTGATGAGGAGGCAGAAAGATAGATGAGGAGTACTAGGCAGAGAGAGATAATAGGACCACAGAATTTATCTGTGAGAATAAACACTTTATTATCGGTTCAGCCTGTCCTAAGCAACTGTGCCTGAATTCAGCTTCAAGAATGCTTCGAGCAGGAGATTGAACTGAATTCCTGTCATTCTATGATTCACAATAAAGGACAGTGAATGTTTCCTTTTAATAGGACAGATTAACTGTACAGCATCTTCAGAAAAAGGCACTGGCATGTATTTCACATTGGATATTTTAAAACTTGTTTAACTTGTAGTTTTAAATAGTTTAGTTACACTTATATTGTTCAGCAATCAAAGCTGCTTTGATCCATCACAATGTGTGCTTAAGGAAGTTAACCACAGCCCAAAAGTAACTTGAAAATCCAATGCATTTGGATTTTTTCTCCAGCACGTCCAAGAGACTAATTAGTTAAAAAAAGGCACTGTCTGCAAACTGTATAGTTCTCTATGGAAACACAGTATCTGATGACATCTTTCTGGAGTGAAAAAAGAAACATTGGCTGATACCTTACAAAAAGAATGAAACTTTAGCTGCAGCAAGACTAATTAATTATTTATGCAATTCAGTGTGAACACAGGACTTGAAAATTATATTTCTGTATCAATTTGCATCCATGTAAAGAGTCTTAGAACACTTGTTCACAGATTAAATATACGATCAAGTTAAAATCCTAAAATGTATTACCATTATAAAGCCAGAAAAAATAAATAAAAATTGTACGTCAATTTTCCACATGAAATGTGTAGATTCCCATCTAGGAATTTCTAGGTTTTATACCTCACATTAATCCTTCCATTAGTTTCTCACAGTTAAAGTGTCAAGCAGATATACTCCATAGGCAGAAAAAAAATGTCCTTTTTTGCACATAAAATACACCTGTGCCACACTCAGCATGAGAATTACTTTGATTCAAAACACATTGTCATAAATTCTGACTTGTTTGGGCATTGTTTATAACGGGAAAAGCATTAAAAAAAACTCTCAGAGGTTCCCAGTAGTTTCTTCTACTACCAGAAACCAGTAGAAAAGCAACATGTTCTCAAAGTCATATTTCAAGTTCACATGTCCCACTTGCATAAACTTCATAATGATCCTCAGCTCTTAAGAAAAACAACAATAAGATTTTGAATTTATGAATGAATTTATGTTTGAAATTAATGGTAATGTAACACAGTTTTAGAAATACCAAAAGAACAAATATCTTACTACAATGCTATTAAGACTAATTGAATTGCTGGCTATGGAAATGGAATAGAAAGTTATACTCATTACCGAAGTATTACATTAAGATCACTTTAATTTACTTTTATTATTATCATCACTAGAACTACAGTTATTAGAACACAGAAACTTACCATCTCTTCATCTTAAGTATCAAATTAGCAGCTCTTTCTCAAATAATAACTTCCCTGATATGAAATAATTTTTCATTTCCAAAAGATGTTTCAAACTCTTCAGAAAACAATGGCATATTTAAATAAATATCATCAAAACAACAAAAATCCTCAGACATATTAAAAAGAATTTAATATTTTCAATATTAAATTTAAAAGCATTTAATGTTTTTAATATGTATCTACCCCCAAATTGTATTTAATATCCAGTCAACTATTTTTGGAGCTTCCACACTCCACACTACACTGCTCACTTAGCTAGTAATGTGCAAAGCCACTTAGGTTATCTTGGTGGTTTCAATTATTCATTTACAAATGCAATACTATCTCTTCTGTACACAAATTAAGCAACTAGGGGGCATGATCTGAAGAACCTCCATTACCTTTGAGATGTTAGCACATAAAACATTTGAAACGAAAAATGAAAGCTTGTTTTTATTTATAATCTGGTTTAATTTTTTTTTTTTACAACTTGACCCAAGATATTTTAGACCTTTACATTATTTTAAATAAACAGGACTGTTGTTTTGCACTTAGTC